TCTTGTTTTTCAGTTGAACTCCTGATCCCCAGTCGTTAGGTCCCTTAACAAGCATCACCAGTGAGTGTTAGGGTTAAGGTTTTTGCTTTAGTCAGGTATCAGGGGAGATACCTTAACAGTTGGGGTTAGGGTATTGGTGGAGTCAAGTATCAAGACAATACTTTGACAGCTACAGCAGTCATAGTTCAGTATATTTCAGTATTATTACATGCATACATTATGCTCAGATATAGTGGTTCAAGTTCAATTATATTTTATCATTGTTATCATATTAGATCCACATGATTATTATAGTACATATATGTCTATGAGCATTGTTCCTATATACATATCTCAAACTCATTCCAATCCACCTCACATGCAAATGAGATAATCCAAGATTGAACCCAGATTGAACTCTGGACTGATTGCAAAAATCAGGTATAATACTCAGAACTTTTCTCTCTGTCATCCTTATCTTAATATCTACCCAGATATACAAGAAAACTCTAAGCCTTCTTATTTGCCTTGTGTCCAGTCAATACAGGTAAGGTTTAAATCTACTATTATATTTCAGCATATAATTATTATATCAGACTCTATAACACTTTACTTTTGCAATCTAACATCAATACCACTAGAGCAAAGCAACAGCATGTCTTTATCTGAGAAACATACATTTTGCTTTTTTGCACTTTTTGTGTGAAAAAGGCATAAAAGCAAAAGAAGCAAAATTGTATATGTATTATAAAATTCATTTTAAGATATACATGAAAAATAAAAAGCAAAAAAAAGGCAAAAAAAAAGCAAAAACGCAAAGGGTATGTTTTCCTGATGTTGTTCAATAATAATAACATAATAAAATGCTGATCGCTGTGTGATCATGATCTGAGAAAACCATAGCTGTATGTTTGTGGTTCTGTCCTCATGGAAAACATTGCTTATTGCTGCTCTGAAACAAGTGGAGATCAAAATCACAGAGGCTAAGCAATAAACGAGCATATACATGCCTTTGTAGCCATCTTAATATATCAATCTGTCTTCTTGAAGTGTGATGTGCATGATCGCACCAATTGATTGTCGCATCCCTGCCAGTGCGAGCGTGTGAGCACGATCTCAGAGTGCCACAAGACATTCTCCGCTGGGAGCATTTCAACCACATGAGAGTGTGAATACGGCAGCGCCCAACAATGAGACGACAAGACAGTTTATTCGTGCAATCAGTTCAGAATGTAGCACAGGCAGCGATGAGTATACGGTACATTTACATATATACGAAGCAGAACACGATGCGCTGCAGTTGGGGGTTGGAGAAGAGCCTAGACGACACGATAGTCCACCGCTGTCCAGATGAACAGGCGAGACAACCACCGCAAACGACGCGTGTGCTCAGTCATTTGATCGTGGTCGTGTCGACCTACGCCCTGCCTGATATGGCCGATCAGCGCGGGTTGTGCCAATAGGTGGGAGAGTTAGCTCACTGCGACGATCGTACTTGGGAGCAGACTCGTCAGCGTATCCCACTTCGCGGCGGTCATACTTGGGAGCGGACTCGTCGGTGTACCCTTCATCACGGCGGTCGTACTTGGGAGCAGATTCGTCGGTGTACCCCACATCGCGGCGGTCGTATTTTGGAGCGGACTCATCGGTATACCCAACGTCGCGGCGGTCGTATTTGGGGGCGGATTCGTCGATGTACCCTTTGTCGCGGCGGTCGTACTTGGGAGCGGATTCATCGGTGTATGCACCGGCTAGTGCGAGAGGCATGTCAGCGAGGAACGCGAACGTGAATAGTGCAAAAAGGCAGAGGACGAACTGTGCCTTCCGTAATTGGCATCTGTGTGGTCCACACAGGTGGGGTTGTGTGAGCAACGTGTGCAAGGAGGCCGGAGGGAGGTACTCGAGTGCTCACCGATGCCATCGGCTAAGAGGTCCTTCTCGTATGTGGAGGAGCGGGAGTCTACGAAGACTGCGTGATTAGCGGCAAGGTATGGGGGAGAGGGTGTGACTGACGCGCGGTGGGGATGGCAAGGGCGACGAGGGGTAGGAGAGCAGCAAAGACGAGAGAGAGACGCATGGTGGGTGAAGAGGTAGGATCCGGGAGGATGCTGGGGGGTTGGGAGGAGAGACGGGGGGCTTTTATGTGTCGAAGGACCAGGGGGAGATGCCTGGATGGGGTCGTCCCTCGCTGGGAGGTGCATTGGCACTCGGTCGTGACTTGGAGGAGAGTCGACAATGTCCCCGATCTCGTGACCGCGTGCATGCCATCAGTCCGCGCGCCGCTGGATCGGACAGAAGCCCAAGGTCTCAGCCACTCTAACGCGCTTTCAATATAATATCATCGAGTGCATGCTGGTCCATTCAAAGATGCTGATCGCGGACATATTGCGCTGTCTGCACTTGCACGCCAAATGTGCGCCCGTCTGTCCTCTTCTTCAGCTCGGGGTCAGCCCACCCAACACCCCACTTCCGTAGCATGTCTCCCCCATCTGAACACTACTCCCCCATCGCCCAAGACGATCCCCATAGCTCCTCCGAAAAGCTCTTCACCCAGCCTGTAGACGTGGAAGTAGTTGACAAGAACGTCTGCCCGTGCAGTCGCCACCACACTTCAGCCTGGCGTCGCTCCTGGCTCTGGCTGCTCGTCGTGTTCTCGCTCTTCCTCAACATTGCCGGTCTCATCACCTTCCTCCTTCGCTCTCGGTGCACCAATGGAGATGAACTCCTCAACGCCCATTGTGCGTCCTCCTACCCGTTCATATGCCCTCACTGACCCGCCTCTCCAGCACCTGCATATCCCGCCATTGAATACAACGTTGCTCGCTTCAATGGCACCATCGGATTCCGCTCCCCGTACGTAGGCATCGGCCCCGACGTCGACGCTGCCTGGGCAGGTATCACTGACTCCAACAGCCACTGTGCGTGCACACCGTCGCTTTTCGCATCCGCTTTGACGCGTCTGTAGTGCTTCCTGTCCGCATCCCCGATGACTACCTCACCCGCATCGGCCTCGACGACGCCCACCTCCTGACTAAAGTCCGCTTCCTCCCCGAAGACGGCGGCGGCAGCATGGGCACCATAGACCTCTTCCATACCCTGCACTGCGTCGTAAGCTCCCGCCCGATCTTGTCTATGCCATACTAAGACCGCCTGTGTGCAGGACATGATCCGCAGATACTCCTACATCGAGCACTACCCTGATCTCCAGAACACCATGACCACACGCCCCGGCTTCTTCCGCGACCACCTGAGTGCGTCCTCGCTCCTACTCTGTTCTCCCCAGTGCTAACCGCGCATGCAGACCACTGCCTCGAGATGCTGCGCCAGAACCTCATGTGCCACGCAGACATCGCGTTCATCACGTATGACTGGGTCGCCGGCTTCCCCAAGCCGTTCCCCGACTTTAGCACCGTGCACCAGTGCCGCGACTTTAGGAAAATCCAGCAGTGGGAGCGCGCGAACCGGGTCCGGGTCCCGCTGGAGCGCATCCAGGCGACGAGGAAGGAGAGCGAGCTCTCCGCTGCTGACGTCGACCTCAACGGTGTGCTCACCTTTGGCCACGGCATGGGCGGCGCACAGCCCAACTGAACGAAGGTCGTCAATCGAAGGCTGTCTTTGTGTCGGCGCCCGCCGGTAAAGCAGAGTGTTATCGTGGGCACTTGACATCATGCTGTATCATTTCTCGAATTGGTGACTGTCAAATATTTGTTGTCCATGTAGGCTAGGCTCTCAGAGAATGCGATGAACCGTCAGAACAGATGTGCCGTAGTTCTTGCGGGGTCTTTGTCGGATGCGTCCGAATCTGATATACGTCCAACAAAGGTGGAGAGAGATGAATCCGACCCGAGAGTCGATGCGGATGCAATGATAGTTCTGGCCATTCTGCCGAGCACGCAGCGAGAAGGCAGCCGCAGGGTCCAGAGTGTTGGGGCCAATCTTCACTCCGGACTCAAGGTGACTTTGATGACCATCGCCGATTCGGCAGGGCATCACGGGATCGAGTCGTGATCCGATACTTGCAGAGGCCATCGGAGGAACGAGCGCCACCGAGGAGGAGGAGAAGGAGGACCTGAATAGATTGGCAAAGGCGGTACTGATACGTCACATGATACCAACTTGGCCCGGTGCTAGACCTTCGGTACAACCACGTTCGTATCAATGCGACACATCCGCCACGCCCGCCGTGAAAGAGTCTGACCCAACGAGCGGGCGTCCCCCCGGGGTTACCCGCGCGCGGGCTTGCAAACAGAGCTATTATCATAATCTATCGCGGGGTCCGCACCATCAGCGATCCATACAGCGCTCGAAAGGAACGTCTGGCCAGCGCGCGGCTGGAACTGATTCCGCCGCCGCCCTAGAACTCCCTCGGCTGCGCAAGTGGGACGTTCTGCATGCTGCTTGGCGTGACAGCCTCTTTGTGTCTTCCGCTGCGCAAGCTGGTCGCGGGCCGTCCATTGCGCAGAACCCGACGCGGCCGAGTTCGACGAGCGTGTACTCTTGCTGCAGCACGGGCCGACGCAGACCCTTTGGCCGTGGAAAAGACAAGGAATCGATTGGACGGGTCGCCATACTGAGCGACGCAGCGCGACTACACGGTCAAGTTATCGATACAATCCAGTACACCACTCGCATGCGGCCCAGTCAGCCGTTCCGCCGCGTCTACGGCTCCTCCGCGAGGTCAACGTTGTCCTCGAGCCGCACGAGACGCCGCTCGGGCACGTGCATCTTGTGCTCGTACGCCCAGCCCAGGACGCGCGAAAAGTCGCGGCACACAT